AAACACCAGGCCGGTGGGCCAAACATTTGATACCAAGGACTACGAAGAAGCAGAACAATAAAACTTATGATGAGGAGAAAAATCAATACATTGAAACTGAATCAAAACTGACATAGACATTAGCTTTTGCAAAGACATTAAGAGTAATTTCTGTATCCCATATGATCAAATAGTTAAGTAGAGATGTGCATAGTATTAAAAAATTCAACCAAGTCTCTAGAAATGAAAACTGGAGTGTCTGAGATCAAGCATATAACTAAATACCTGTATTAAATCCCTATTTTAAAAAAACTCTAATTACCTGTACTAAATCATTTACTACAGCTTCCACCTTTAGAAATCAGAAAAAGATGAACAAATAAAACTGTAAGTAATCAAAAGTCAGGCAGTAATAAAATCAGAAAAGATAGTAATGAAATAGAAAGCCAAACAAGAGAGAAAAATCAATAAAAAATATAGTTCTTTGAGATCAATTGATAAATGCTTCCTAGACCAATAAGAACAAAAAGGTAAAAGACATAAATTACTGATATCATGAGTAACAACAGTGACATTTATACAGATTCTTCGATATTAGGGGAAACGAAATATTATGAAAAATGTTTTAATGTTGATTAATTTTAAAACTTAGATAAAAGGGAGAATATGTTGAAAGATAAGAATTACCAAAGTTCATTCAAGAAGAATTAGATAACCTGTACAGCCTTATATCCATTGAATTAATTGTTAAAACCCTTTTCAAACAAACCAACAAAAACAATATAAGGTCCAGGTGATCTCTGAAAGAAACACACCTACCAATCAAGGATAAAAAGCTACCAATTCTATGAAAACTCAGAAAAATTGAAGAAGAGGGAGTATTTTCTAATTCATTTTATGAGTTCAGCTTTACCTTGGTCTCAAAACAAAAGACATTTGTAAGTACTAACAACTATCCCCCAGGAACATCAATGCAAAAATTCTCAACAAAATTTGGGGAAATGTATAAAATGATGGTCTTTGAATGGATGATATTCATTTTTAATAGCCTCCATTTTAGGTCAGGAGATAACTCTTCGTGGGTCTCTTTTGCTTTTGAATGTCTTGTGAGTGAGGCATGATAGTTTGTTCAGGAATATCTTTTCAAGGGTATATCAAACAGTCCAGGAAGACCCATAGAGTGTCTCTCTTTGGGTCAAAGGTTGAGTTTGCTTACCTTGACAAGACTCCATAGTTTCTATCTTTGGAGTCACAGAGAAGATTTGCTTGTTCATCAGTATAAGAAAGCACTGTCTCCCTCCATGTTAAATATCAGGCGGGTTTACCAACCATGAGAAAAGATACAGTCTTCTAAATTCAGTCACATTCTCCAATAACATGATCCTCAGTGTGTTCAATGTCATGTGGTCCCCACTTTGGGAACTGAGACTTGGGGAACGGGTACTGATACTCTTGTCCTCAGTTGTGATAAACTACTCTTCGTTTCTGATCCAGGAGTCTCGTGACTGCTACCTGTGCCCATGGAACTTTGGCAGGTTAGTTAGTAATATCTCGGACCATTCACAGTTCTTGGCACCTCTTTCCATCAAAATAGGTGCAATCTCTTTGCAAACTTGAGGCCCTCCTATGTGTCCGTTTATTATGATCTCCATTAGAGATAAGACTCTCCCACCAAGGTCTTCATAGCTCTTGTCTATATTTAAATCCCTGGAAAGCTGCTTGCCATTAAGATTTTTAGAGCTTTAATGTTTAATAGAGAAATTCTGTGGAGCATATCCTTATAATATCTAATTTTTCTTTTTCTATCTGAAAGTGTCCATAAGATACTTCCTTAAAACATTTTGACATATTTAGAAAGTGTCTTACAATCATAGATTTTTAAAATGCGCTATAAAAATAAAAATTAATGAAGGTAAATATGTGTATCTGAAACTCCAAAGAAACAAGTGTCAGCGTTACAGAAGGATACTTGCACCTTGATACACTGGTGATGCCCCTTTATAACAGTTAGAACTATGAAATACATATGTACATACTTGTGTAGTAAATGTATAAAGCAATAAATAGTGAATGATAGTCCGGCTCTGTTTTCAAAAGATATATTGTAGAAATTTAGAGGATGGATTAGATAGGAGAGATGACTAAAACAGAGCTGGAGGAGAAGTATTGAGTAAAAGGCTGTTCTACCAGAAACATTTGATGAGAAGGAGTTTAATGAGAACATATTCAATGAGAAGAAAAAGAGAAGAAAGACTAATAAAATATGTCAGCAGGAGATCAATAGGACCTGTTAATCCATTTGAAATGGGAGGCAAGGAGCGAGGTAATGTATATGTATGAAATATATACGTTTTATATGCCCAGCACTCTGCCAGGTGTTTTACATATGCTATGCAATTTAATCCTGATAATAGCCTTCTGTGATACACATATTTATTTCTATTTTAAAAATGGAAAAAATGAGACTCTTGCAGGTTATTTAATTTGCCGAAGGTCAAATGGCAAGGAAATGGAGATGCCCTATTTGGAGCCAGGTGTGTTTGATTCAAAGGTCATGCTCTTTTCATTTCAGAATGAATCCTAATACATCACACAGCATTTGGATGTTGTTGCTTTGGTGAACGGCGATGCCATTAACTGAAACAGGGAATTCAGAAAAGTAGCATGTTAGACATGTT